TCTCTCTCTCTCTCTCTCTCTCTCTCTCTCTCTCTCTCTCTCTCTCTCTCTTTCTTGATCTATCTCTCTATCTTCGTGTCACTTGTGCGCTGGCAAACGCGTTCGTGAGTGTGCCGAGTAGATTTGTGAATATGCATCGACGCGTGTCGGTAAAGATGTAGATGTGTGAATATATTATTATTCTATTATGCGTACGTATGTGAATAATTGAGTGCAATTGCGGCTGTACAGGCACAAGGGAGCTACTGAAAATGCGCGTCTAAACGTATAGTTACATATTTCCGAATATCGAGAGAATCTGTTTACATACGGTACGGTCTGTTTGGATTTTATTTTCATTATTAAATGAAATATTATGTGTTTTTTGGCTTCGTATTTTTTGGTTGACCGCCTCTTAAATAACCTAATAGTCTTGATAAACCCATGCCATTTTTAAAAATAGTGAAATGTCTTTTCTTTTTTTTAAGGTGGGATGTCTCAGGGGGAGGGTGGGGAAATGAGCTAGTTGGATGTAAATATTCTGTCTTACTTGTCTACTGTAATGCTTGTTATCGATCATAACAGTCATTCTGTTTTCTGTTTCCTTTCTACGGCTGTGAATGTAGGTTTTTGTTGAATATAAAGGGGGAGGGGTGTCCTATGCCCAGATTATTTTGGTTTAAGGTGGCAAATTATAATACTATAGATCTATAGTAGTCAATTCATTGAAAAACTTCATTTCACGGTTTTCGTCTCTGAGAGTTGTGTCTGTATAGTGTTGATAATCATTATTCTCTGTTTTAGGTCTGATGAATAAAGGATGTTGTGAATGACGATGAAAGAAAGAACTTGAACTAGGATGATTCTGCATTAACTTTTTATTGTATGTATATTTCTATCACGTTTATGTTTGTATTCTAATAACATTATGCAACTGGCGTTATGTTCCTGATGTTTCATGATAGTAATTATAATTATTGATGATGTTATTATTGTGTTCCACAAGGTATTCTGATGTAACATTGTCTTACAACGAATGCCGCCTCTATGAGATCAATACAAGTTTTATAACCAAATAGAGAATCTGTTGTTGCTTATACGTGTGGCGTGTTTGTGTATGTGTGTGTGTGTGTGTGTGTGTGTGTGTGTGTGTT